TCTGTCTGACTTCTCAGGCTTTAATTATCCTTAATGACTATGTTGATTGTGTATTTTGTTGGTAATTCATTCCTTTTATTTTTTTTTAATTGTGGTAAGTGATACAAAACTAAATGTTGCCATTTCTAATCATTCTTCTGTGTCCACTTCAGTGGCATTAATTATATTCCCATTGTTGTGCAACCATCACCTCTATTTCCAAAGCTTTTTCATAACCCCAAATAAACTCTATAGCTTTTAAGCAGTAACTACCCACTCTTCTACCCCCTCAGCCTGGTAGCCTCTAATCTACTTTGCTTCTATGAGTTTGCCTATTCTAGACATTTCAGATGAGTTGCATCATACAATATTTGTCCTTTTATGTCTGGCTTATTTCACTAAGCAGTGTTTTCAAAGTTCATGTTGTATCTATCAGCATTTTCCTTTTGACTGAGTAATTTTCCATTGAATAGACATACTTTGTATGAACATAGGTTTTTGGTTCTCTTGAGTGTATACCTAGAAGAGGAATTGCTGGATAATATGGAAATTTGAAATTTGACTTTTTGTGGACTCACAAGGCTGTTTTCTATAGGGCTCTACCCTTTTACATTCCTACCTGCATTGGACAAGGGTTCCAGTTTCTCCCTATCCTCTGCAACACTTGTTATTATAGCCATCTTAGTAGGTGTAGAAGGACTATTGGTTTTTCATAAGATACATAAGCATAGACTGTTGCTACAAACTTGGTAGGGGAATTAATGAGTGTAACTGTATATGTTCCAGGAGGATGGGCTGAGGCAAGTTCTGCAGGAGATGAAAGCTTTAGACGAGCAAAACCTACCTGATGTGTAAGTTGGTAAGTTGATATTTTAAAACAGTTTAAGAAATATGATATTGATGTCAGATCATCTTAACATTAGTTTTTAGATATGATTTTTTTTTCTTTTTTTAATTCTCTGTGAGCCTGGTCATACCCTAGCTATACAGAAGTAGAAGGATTTGTGTTAATGATTGTTATGTTTCTAGGGATGAAATAGTGCTTGGCACATGATAGATGTTCGATAAATACTTCTTGTTTGACTGGTGTGACTTGAAAGGAATTAGGGTGGATCCAAAAGAGATGATCCAGGAGCAAGTAACAGACCTAATGAGTGAAGTGCATTGTTTCCACTGCTCGTTTTCATCAAGTGAGGCCTTAGTGGGTTTAAAGGGAGAACAGGCAGTTTGCAAATTTAGCAGGAGTAGCAGAGACTTGCGAAAGCTTGACTGAAGTTGGCTGGGAACTCGTGTGGCAGAGCACTCCAGCTTGGTGGGCTGGAGGGTTCTGGAGTTGCAGACTGTTTAGAGCCAAGCGTGGGAGTGGGCACAGAGGAGAATTTGAGCTGAATGACAGACTGCAGAGGACCTGTGACTGGGTGAAGAATAAGACACAAGACTACTGACTGCTGGAGGAAAAATGAGTTATTGAGAGCTCATCCTGGAGAGAAGTCTGTCTGCAACTTGAGATTTCATCCCTGGCCTTGTTAGGTAGTGTTTTCCTCAGTTAATTGGGCATAGAAATCAGTAGCATGTTGTTAGGGTGTGTGGAGTACACAGAACAGTAGGAACACTTTGCAGTGACTGTGTTACTGATGATGAGGAACTGATGTGCAAGAGGTCTGCAGTAAATGTAAGGGAAATGGAAAGTCCTGCACTCAGGTTCCCAAGTCCTTCATTTGTTCCTGCCACTCAGCAGTTATGAGCTGATAAAGGGCTCTGGTGTTTCAATTGTAAACAGCAGAATCAAGAGGTTTTCCCCCATGGCCCTCAACAGTGTCATGCAGAAGGCAGGTGTTAAATGCGGGTAAAGTGGGTCAGAGTACCTGCTGTGAAGGAAAACACCATACTGGGAGGAGAGTCATGCTCTGAAAATATTGGTAGATTGTGAAATCTGGGAAATTCTTTCCGAGGAATAGACTCTTCAGCTGGAGCCTGAAGAAGCAGGTTTTACCGAGGAAGTAACTGTGGGCAGAGAGCATTCTAGTTGGAGGAAACAGCATGTGCAAAGGCCCTGAGTCTTGAAAGAGGGTGGGATGCCCAGGGACCTGGGCCTTCCCAAAGGTCAGTGTGGCTGGAACTTAGTGAGCAGGCTGAAGGCAACACCAGGGGAGATTTCTAAGCATGTGGGGCAGGTGGTGGCATGTTTGTGTTCTAAGGACGACCCTGGCCACCATGTGGATAGTGGATGGTGGGATCGAGAGGGAGGATGGTGGTCATGCAGGCGACAGGAGAGGTGAGCCAGACCAGGGGAAAGGAGAACAGTTTACACACCTGTTTAGGAGGTGACTGAACAGGCCTTGGTCCAGTAAGTGAATGATTTTCCTCTATTTGTACCATGGGGAAATTCATGATCCAAAATTCTGTGCCATATCCTCCTAGTTTGATTTTGGGCAGGACACCACTATTACCAGTTTCTGGTTAAAATTCTTTGTCAGAAGAAATATATTCCTATTTAATTGCTCGCATGGAAATGTCAATTTTTTAAGGAAGTTCTTGTGTACTGAATCAAGTACTTTTTTTTCCATTTATTTTTATTAGTTGAAAGCTAATTACTTTACAATATTGTAGTGGTTTTTGTCATACATTGACATGAATCAGCCATGGATTTACATGTATTCCCCATCCCGATACCCCCTCCCACCTCCCTCTCTATCCAATCCCTCTGGGTCTTCCCAGTGCACTAGGCCCAAGCACTTTTCTCATGCATCCAACCTGGGCTGGTGATCTGTTTCACCCTAGATAATATATATGTTTCGGTGCTGTTCTCTCAAAACATCCCACCCTCGCCTTCTCCCACAGAGTCCAAAAGTCTGTCCTGTACATCTGTGTCTCTTTTTCTGTTTTGCATATAGGGTTATCATTACCATCTTTCTAAATTCCATATATATGTGTTAGTATACTGTAATGGTCTTTATCTTTCTGGCTTACTTCAAATATACAGAGTGAATCAAGTACTTTGGTGTTAAGTTGGGTGTATTTTATTTGTGCTATTCATTATAATCAAGAGCACATTGTAAGCAGTGTGGAGAATAAATCTAACATTTCTAAAATGGCGGAAGTGTCTAGAACAGATATAGAAGACATGGTACATCTAGGTACATGGTACAGATCTAGAAGACATGGGACATATATTTTGCCTCTATTTTCAGGGTCTAGAGCACGCACATACACTTTGTATTTATCTGTTCCCTTTTAACACTCTAAAGCAGATATTTATTAATTCTGTACATCTGGTTTTGTTTTGTTTTGTTTTGTTTCTTTTCAATTATGGTTAAGATACACACCAGATAGCTCAGTGGTAAAGAATCTGACTGCCAATGCAGGAGATGCATTCCCTGGGTCGGGAAGATCCCCTGGAGAAGGAACTGGTGACCCACCCCAGTTCTCTTTCCTGGAAAATTCCAAGGACAGAGGAGCCTGGCAGGATATAGTCCATGGTGTCAGAAAGAGTCGGACATGACTGAGTGACTGAGCAAACATACCATTCAGTGTATTCTAAACATTCATAATGTCATATAGCTATCACCACCACCACCTTCTCCAGAACTTTTCATTTTACAAAACTGAAACACCATACCCAGTAAACAATTGTACATCTGATTGGAAAGGGTGATGCTCGTCTGATATCAAAGGAGACACATATTTTATAGGGTAAAGCCAAAATTTTCTCCCTCTCTGTGTAAAGAACCCTAAAGTACATGCACAGAGTTGAAAATAAAGAATTACTTCTTGGATGAGTGGAGGAGCATTTGACTTTAGAGTCCTTTGCTCACTTTATGAGGAATTTGAAAGTATTGATATCATAGATATCTCATCCATAGGATGAGAGCATGATGTGAGGCCATAATCTTATGCACCGTGATATTTGATCTCTTATATCCCATCATGAAAAAGGGATTCTAAAAAGTGAGGCAAAGATGTCTTTTGGAGACAATGGAAATTAATCAGTGTACAAAACCCAATGTGCCACGTGGCTAAACAAAAGAATGGGAGTGTGATCCTAGGCAAATTAGTTAGGTATTTATTTATTTATTTAATTTAAATTTGTGCACACAGCTTGCAGGATCTTAGTTCCCTGACCAGGGATTGAACCTGTGCTCTCAGCAGTGAAAGTGCAGTGTCTTAAACATTGGACCACCAGGGAATTCCCTGACTCTTTTCTATTTTATCCTACTAGCAAAAGCTCTGATGTGGAGGCAGGTAGGTTAACTACTAACACAAATGGCTAACAACAAGTATGGACTCAGTTGTTAGCTGGCTTTAAAAACTTGACTTGTTCTCAATAGACATTCTTTTCCTTAAATGTTTTACCAGGAATAATGCAAAGTCAAGTGGATGAGGTGATTTGATCCCAGCCATCAAGTTTCGACACTGTTCTTTGCTAAGTCAGCGCTGTGCCAGAGCCTGCCTGTGAGCTTCTGTGTTTGCGGGGATGGCAGGGAGCAGGGGGTTCCCATCCCAGGGGGTGTCAGAAATTCTTGGCGATGTCTCTCTTCTATGAGCATTCTGAATTTTCTCTTTGTTTCCTTTTAAACATGTTTTATTATGGAAAGTTGCAGTATTCTTAAACTAGGGAATAATATTACAGCCCCCCATGGAGCCATTATATAGGTCAAACAGTTCTTAACATTTTGCCATGGTTGCTTCATCTTGTTTTATGTGTCTAGGCTAAACATTAGGCATTTTACTGCTGAATAGTTTTGTGTGCATCTTTAAGAAATAAGGACCTTTGGGGCCTCTTCTCACTGCATAATTGACCTGTGACCACTGTGTAATTCTCCTGTCTAGAGCAGTGACCATCCCTTCACAGCATCCATCCAGTCTGTTCCTCTTTTCCCTGCTGTCCCGAAGGTGTCCCCTTGCAGTGGTTTGTTTGCCTCCGGAACCAAATCAAATCCATGTGTTACCTTCTGGTGGTTCAGTCGTAAGCCTCTCCTGATCAAGACAACTTCTGTTCCAATGCTGTATTAATGTTCTAGGCATGACCGGCTGCTTCAGATTAGAGCCCTCAGGTGGGGTTATGGCAGTGTCTTGCCAAGTGCTTTACGATTTCACATGTCTGCTGAAGACGTAAGTTAGCACTCTTGTTCAAATTTGTAAATTCGGAAACTGGCTGAGCTTCTGGCTCAGCTTCTATAATAGTACTTATAGTACTTGTCTTTTTGTTTTAACCTTTGATTTTCAGTAGTTTTTGGTCTGTTTGAGAATGGTAGTAGTAATTCTAAATGCTGTATGGAAAACTACTATTAACAAAATAAAGGGTCCCGTTATGTTAGTTGCTAGAGATCCCTCAGTAGGGTGCAAAACTGGCATCATTATGTGGAAATTTTTCATAAAATATGTGTGTGTACATACTTTGCTTGGGGCTTTCCAGGTGGCACTTGTGGTAAAGAACTTGCCCGCCAATGTAGGGGACGTAAGTGATGTGACTTTGATCCCTGGGTTGGGAAGATCCCCGGGAGGAGGGCTTGGCAACCCACTCCAGTATTCTTGCCTGGAGAATCCCATGGACAAGGACCCTGGTAGGCTACAGTCCATACAGTCACAGAGAGTTGGACACGACTGAAGAGACTCAGCAGGCACACACACACTTTGCTTATCTTTGTGATTATGTGTGATGAATTCTTGATTTGTCCAGTCACTGAGGCACAATATTTAAGGACACAGGATTGAAGGCAAGCAAACTCGTGTGGAAATATTGGCTCTGCTTCTGTGAGATCCTAGGTAGGAGGCTCCATCTCTCCCTGTGCCTAAATTCCCTCATTTGCAAAGTGAAAGTCATAGCATCTGCTGCAGTGACTTCAGACACTAACTCCCTAGTTAGACCAAACCTCATAGGTTAAGACTGCCCTCACTTCAGACACCAGCCATGATTTGGGGGTTCCCAGGGCCACTCTCCCTTCTGGCCAGCTGGCTGCAAATTCAGAGGTTCCCACTCTCCCCTCAGGTTTGAGGCTTTTAGCCTCTTGACATCATTGTGGAGAGGAGAGGGGAGCCAGGAGTAGGGCTCCGTCACCTGTGATTCAGTCCATCATAGTTTGATCCATCGATGCAGCCTATATCATGACACTCCAGACTTGTGTGAGCTTCCCTGGTTGACACCACATCATGTGCATTGTTCCACGGCAGCGTGCTGGGAGGGTGGTGTGTCCTGGTTCCTCGGGGAGAGGAAATCAAAGCTTCACATCTGGGACCCTCCCAGACCTCACCCTGGGTGTCTCTTCCTTTGGCTGGTTCTCATTTGCATTCCTTTCACTACAGTACAACAGTGGACATCAGGACAGTGCTTTCCTGGGTCCTGTGAGTCGTTCTGGCCAAGTGTTAAACCTGAGGGAGGGGTGTATATGTGTATGTATGCACATACACACTTTACTAGTGAAGGTTATGAAGATGTTCTTCCGTACAGTCTTTTTGGAGTTAATCTTCTTTTGTTTTTCACAAAGATATCCATGGTCCTGGAATAGATTTTTGTGAATAATGTACGAGCCAAGTTGCATGCCTGTGGTTGGCGGGGAGAGGGGGAGCTTTCTTTTGTCCTAGTCTGTCCTTGTACCGATTTCATACTGTTTAAATGATTATAATTTTGTAATACTTATTAATTAAGTTTTCCCATTTTGTTCTCCTTTCTCAAGTGTCTTGACTATTTTTGGCTTTTTGCATTTCCATGTAAATTTTAGCCTTATTTGTCAAGTTTGATATTTTTAAACAATTGGAGTTTTGATTGAGAATGACTTGGATCTATAGATCAATTAACATTATTGTAATACTGAATTGTCTAGTCCTTGAAAGTGGTGTATTATTCTGCATTATTAGGTACCAATGTGCAGAATTACCAATACCTACTGTTCTAGGTACCAGTGCTTTGTTCATAATAGGCAATTGATAATATTTGTAGTTTGAATGAATGGTCATAGTAAAGATGCATGTGGGCATCTGTGCTGCTTTTGAAAGGCTTAGTGTACAGTTTCTGCAAGTTTATTTCCTTACAGCTTTGTCAAATGGCCATCTTTATGTTTCCAGGTGGACTGGTTCAGTGGTTACAAAATGTCCCTTGCTACATTGGCAGGAGACCAAGGTTTGGACATCACACAGGATGTGAAACCTCCAAAAAGCCTATATATAGAAGTAAATATACCTTTAAAAAAGTGGGTGTTTCTTTAATGCTTAGCGTGTGCTTACTTTTGTCCAAAGGAGGGGGTATATGAATATATACTAGTGTATATAGGCATATAACTTGGAGACACCATAGGATTGGTTTCTGACTCACAATAAAGCGAATATTCACTAAAACATGTCACACAAATCTTTTGGTTTCCCCGCGCATGTAAAACATGCTTACAGTCATCTATTGAGTACGTCTTAGCATTATATACATATTTTATTGCTGAAAAATTCTGCTGTCTGACAATGCAGGGTTGACACAAATCTTTAGTTTGTAAGAAAAAAAAAAAGAAATCAATATTAGAGAAGCACAATAAAGCAAAGCACAAACAAGAGAGGAAACATAAACCCAAGCCAAAACGTTTGCCTGTAGTGGGAATAGGATTGAACAATTAAAAATGTCTGGCTGTACCTGTTTTTAAAGTTTTAACTTTAGAACCATGTAAGTATTTTACACATTGTTAAAAGAAAATGAAATCAAAGTTAAAAACCAACCCAAAACTCTCTTTGGCATCTCCTTCAGTTTCCTTGCTGTCCGTGCTGACCTACACATATGTTCAGAGATTTGCCATTTTTCTTCCTCCCCATCAGAAGTGGACAGTTTGAACTTCTAGAATGCCTCAGGAAAAAATGCTAAGCCTAACTACACAGAGAAGACACAAACAGAGCCTAATGCTTACCTGTAGGTGCATGTACAGTGCCCAGCTACTGGATGGTTACTCCATAATAAAAAATAATGTAGATATTGTAAAACATTAGTTTTTCTTTTCAGGTGCGGTGTCTAAAAGACTACGGAGAATTTGAAGTTGAAGATGGTACTTCAGTGCTATTAAAAAAAAACATAGCCAGGGATTTACTGTCTTAGGATACTTTAACTTTTTAAGAGTGTCAAATGATGGAAATGTTGGAATCAGTAGTAAACTAAATATCACCTTGCGATGATCATTTGTGTCATAGACATTGTTTATCATAAAATATCCTTTTATCCTTTTCCTAAAAACTTGAAGCAGAAAGGGACAGTACAGTTGACCCTTGAACATCATGTAGGGATAATGGGTGTAGTCAGACTCCCCACTCCCCACAGGCTGTAGACACACGGGCTTCCATTGTGGCAGCAGGCAGACTTGGTAGTTGTGGTGTGTGGGCTCTGTGGCATGTGGATTCTAGAGTTTGTGGGCAGAAGCCTTCCTCTTGATGAGACTTTGTCTCTCAGTATCAGTCTGTAAAACTGGGGTAACTTAAAAGCATCATCTACTGTAGGGGACATTAAGGGGCCTCTGGCATGTCTGAGCACGTCTGAAATACGTTTTCTATAAAATTTGTGTAATAGATCACCCACATAATGTGGAATATTAATAGGGAAACATTTTCCTACCATACAGTCCTTTATTCTTGACTCTATGGGGCATGTTTCTCATTGCCCAGAAATGAGAACAAATGTCTTTAGTAGACATTGGAATAACTGTTCAGTGAACAATTCCATCATTTTTATTTTTTTCTTTTTCTTTTTTGCATTTCATAGTTGTAAGACTTAAAAATTCAGTTAAGTTAGACATCAGGCCTTGGCCCATGGGTCTTTATGACTGGTTGGCAGGAGTTTCTTTGGCCGTGGGTCCCATGGGAGGCCTTTGAGCTTGTAGAGAACTGTCAGGTGCATGATGCTGCTGAAATAGCATCTGCTTCCTTAAGTACTTGCTATACTCGCTCCTTCAATTCCTTTCTAGAGTTCTCTATGCTGCACTTTCTAATGCACTGTTTTTTCATTTTTACTCAAGTATCTATATCTGTCTAGTCTTTGAGATTCGTTTGGTCACCTGTGAGCTTGAAAAGTCTTCCTGCCTCACTCCCTGCAGCTCCCCATACCAGAATTTAGCAAATGTTCCCTTGTGTGTTAGCCTTGCTGTTTGGAAGGGAATGAGACCAGGAGATGCCATTCCAGCTCAGAATGAGAGCAGTGTGCTCTTGAGAGATATGGAGGATGAGCCTTAGCTGGGCACCACTTTCCTCACACACAGCATGTGGCCAGCATTCTTGAGTTACAAAGACTTTTCATCCTTGAAAAATATGGGAGAAGAGTTGCACTGTTAGTAGAGGAATGACTGTTCAGACATAGATCCTCGAAGAGGTTTAATGGAGAATACACTCCTTCCGTTTGCCTTCTTAGTGAACTGTTGCCACAGCCCTTGTGGTCCGTGGCCCAGATCACCTACCTGGCTTTCCTGTGTTTAAATCTTAAAATGTGAACACTGGGGAGAATACCTACTAGAATTCATAGGTCTTTAGTTTAAATTTAACCTAAGCAAGGAATGAATTTGTGTATAAAATTCAGAGTTTAGTACAGCTCTAAGTAACATCAATTTCAGCTGATGAAAATAGCAAATATACTTAAGCTTAGCATTTAACTCCTTCACTGGTGCAGTTTGAAATATTCATCATGTATTGCTGCTTTTTAATGATACAGCATGTAATTTAAAACACTTTTCATTCCTCTCTCTCCCTCTCCGCTCTCCCCTGAGCACTTTTTACCTCGGTGGAAGTACGAGCAGCTGATTAGACAAGGCGTTCTGGAGCACGTGCTGTGATGACCCCTGGCCGGATGCCTGCTAAGACTCCCTCCTGGTGTGAGACTGCACCAACAAAGGTCACTTCTCCACCTCCCTCTCTACCTCCCCAAGGCCCACTGCTTTTTGGTTCTAAAATGGAAACTTTCTTTAAGCAGGAATGCTTTGCAGAAGAGTATGGTTTGTTTTCTTTTTTTCTTTTCATTTGGATGTTAATTTCTCTTTTTTTCATTTCTGAATATAATTCCATTACCTTCCATGGTAAACATATTTGTGAATCTGTGTTGTATGTTTGTACTTTGAAGTATCAGTTCTCAAAAGAGAGTTTGCATTCTGGCCATACAGAGAATCCACACACATCCACCCTGCTGTCCACAGCTCTACAGCAGAGTCCAAGGTCAGGGTTCTAGCAGATGCTGTGCTTAAAGAGAATGCTTCCTGGTTCATACACTGCCATTTCTCATTCTGTCCTCACAGTGTGCAGGAGGTTTGAGTTTCTATTGTACAGGATTCTCCCCTTTGTGTAGTAAGCTGTCTCTGTAATCACAGCGTCCTACAATTCCCCAAATGCTACCCTGTGTTTCAGTTTCATGCCAGTAAACACCTGTTAGATGTTCGTCTCTTTTAAACACTGAGGGAGAGCTTCACCTGGTGTGAAGGGAGGCCTCGTGTCCCTCTGCCTCTTGGATTGTTGATGGAAGTGTGCTGTGCAGGCCAGGGAGCTGCATTTCTCAAGTTTGTTTCCAAATCACATGGGCAGGTAGAGCTGGTGGTCTCTAAAGGACACAATGGATTTTGCCCATTTCCAGTGGTGGCTGGTCTTGCTCGTGCCTGTGTGCAAGCTTGTGTCGCAGAATGTCCATTTTGGAAAAGGAAATTGAGATTGGGGCTAGGAAAGGAATTTTGTGCAATTTCGCCCCAAGAGTCACATTGACAAAAAAGTCACATGAAGAGCTGATCAGCTAAGTGGAGGGCAATTTCTACTGTCCATTGAAATGATAGGCATCGGAGAGGCACAAGGGGGTCCTACCTGCTGGTCAATACCCTTTCTCCACCAGTCCCCTCCATGACCAGCTCAGTAATCTCAGAGACATTCAAGTTTAAAACCCAGATAAACCCAGTGCCTGGCACTCTGTACAATTTATTTCTTAGACGGGAATATTTCAGGCCAAAATTATACTCAAGTGGTCAAGCTACGGGAATCCTCTACCTAGGGTGTGGATCTGCATATTTTCACAACACACATATTAAAACTTAGGTCAGCAGGCTGCCCTTGGCAGATTCTTTTCCAAGCTGTGCGGCTCACAGGATCTGGTTCCTGACCAGGGATTGAACCTGCACCCTGGGCATTGAAAGCACAAAGCCCTAACCATGTACCTCTAGGGAATCCCCTCATTTTTAAAAATAGTTCTTTCCATAGATTTATAGTCAGATCAGATTTTCATCTGAATCTCTGCCAGTAAACAATAAGGAAAATTTCTCTAGTGAATGGGATGGATGATGTTTTAACTGTAGGCCAGTGGTCACGTCCCTCGCATTCTGCTCTTCCAAGCATGTGGAACCATGTGCAGGGGAGCCCAGAGTCCATGTGAGTCAGCTGTGAGGAGGAACCTGCAGTAAAGGCCAATGCCCTGTTTCCAGGCCAGCATCATTTCTGTATATAACTGTGTAATGTACTTTCCTGATTCATTCCCAAAATAAAATAATAAGTATAGTTCTTATTTGAAGTAAATGTATACTTGTTGAAAAGTTAAAATTTTATAGGTTTTATTGATTTATGTTGGTTGGTTCTATAGAGTTGTGTCTAGAATTTTAAAATATATGTTTTTTCTTAATTTAAATGTAATGCACAATTAAAAAGATAAAAGAAAACATACAATGTAGAAAATCAAAGTAAGTTCCCATTTTACCTACTAAATGCCACCGTCCAGTGTGCCCATTGTTAACTGATTACGGATATAAAATGCAATCCCATTTCAGGTGTTTTTCCAATGAAATACTTTTCATTTTTTGTTCCTGATGTGAATAGAATCTTCTTTTCTGTTACATTTTCTAACTGGTTTTGGCTGTTAAATATTAAAAAGCAGTAAATGATGATGATTTGGCCACTTTCCTATATAAAGTCATTTCTTTTTCACATTGATTTTGTCATCTGGAACTTTCGGAAAAATGTTGACTACTGCTGGTAATACTGCATATGTGTCTCTGCTTTGTCAGTGTTTTCAGTCATCTGTTCCTATGAAACAGCCATCCAAACACAATGGCTTTAAACTACACGATTTGATTGACTTTCCCAGCTCTGCAGGTTGGCTGCGCTCTACTGGGAGGTTCTGCAGCTCTTACTTAGGGTCCCTGATGCAGGTGCATTCCTCTGGTGGCCTGATTGGGATGGCTTGGCCTCTGTTCTCCATGTGGGCCTCTTGCGAGGTTCTCTCCAGTGAGCTGGTTGGGCTTCTTACCTGGCAGCTTGGGACCCTGCAGGGTTAAGAGGGTAGATGTGGGTGCTGCTAGTTTTCTGAACGACTAGGCCTGGTAATGGACTAGCACCATTTTCTGCCAAATTCAGTCAACTAATACAGCCCCAGTTGCTCAGAGTCAGTGAAGAGGCTGCGTGGACCACATAAAGGCAGAACAGCAAGAGGCCCCCCAGTCAGATGGGGTATGAGTGTTCTGGTGTCAGTTTTTAGTGGTGCAAGTTCCTTTATCTATTTTTCATAGACATGTACCTTTGAAAATGGCATTGATACCTATCTAACTATCTCAGTATAAATCTTCTTTGGAGAGAGATACTTGATGATTTTTTCTTTTCTTTTCTTTAGTTTATAGTCAAACTTTTCTACTTTTTCTTAAGTAAATTTCAGTTAGTCTTTTTTCCTAAGCTTTTTTTAATCTATATTTTGAAATGTATTAAGGCAGTTTTTTTTTTCATTACATATGATTATCCCTAATATGTGTCTGTCTTTCCTTTCTCGTCTTAGCCCTATAACTGGAAGAAGTATCTGTATTGATACTGTATTAATCCTTTAGGATGTAGAGGAGGGAGGTGCTAATTTTATGTGGTCTATTGCTTTTCACAATTGGTGGTATTTTAGGATGAGTTGAATTTATTCTATTTTGTGACATTACAAAAACAATGTTTTCATATAGAACAAAATGTAGTAACAAAGAAGGCAGCCATCTGCAAGTCAAAGACAGAGGCCTCAGGAAAAACAAACCTGCTAATAAGTTTGATCTCGGATTTCTAGCCTCCAGAATTGTAAGA